ATTTTACTTTAATGCATATCAGAAAATATACATAACTACTAAATTAAGACTTTATTATTGCCCTAAATAAATTAAGGTTTTATTTAGGACAATAGTAGCTTCTTTAAGACAGTGATGATTTGAATAAAAGTATTAAGCAAATAATAGACCCAAAAGTGGACACATATGAAAAAAAAAAAAAAAACAGACATTAAAATGGTTCTCAAATGGCTGAAGTTTGGAAATAATGGATTAATTTATTACTATTAGAGTTTGATGAATTGGCAAAAATGCTATTAAGATCCATGAATTAGTATATCTGTTTCTTCCATGTTATCACCCCCACTTTGTCTCCATTGACTTCAAGACAAAGAAAAGTATTCTACTGCTATGTAAAATAAGTCTACTTATCTTTACAAAGACTGCAGGAGTTCTCTTCATAGAAGATATTGTTTTGAATTAACGATGTTTTTCTCTGTTAATGAATAATATTAAATATCAAGAGACATCAACTCTAAGGGGGTAAGTTTTGGAATAATGCACTGTGGATAATGCCCTCATGTGGCTTCAAAGTTTAGCTACATTCCAAGTTATGGAATCTAAAATATGGCAGACAATGACAAATAAGAAAAGGAAACAGCACAAGAAAGTGTGATTTTTTTTGCCACTACCAAATCCTTTGGTCGAGTGGAATGGATCACCAATATGGCAGACAGAATGGCAAGTTCTTGGGAGTAATCAGACATCCAGTTCATACAGGATATCGTCTGTGATATGTTTGGTTAGGATGTTCACAAATCACACAAGACATTTTCATTTTAGTTTTATTTTTATCAAAACAAAATAATTTAACCATATAAAGAAACAATCAGTAGAGTAGCAAGTTATAAACAGTTGAATGCACTTAAGATGTTGAGTCATCCTCTATGGCTCCAAGTGACAGAGACTATTTTCCCTGGTTCCTTCTCTCCCCAGGGTGAAGTGTTATACTAGGACGTTCCTTTACCTCTCCAGAATAAATCATGGATATTCCCACATAAGTACAAAGCATGGGTACAAAGAATGGTACAAACCTAGCACACAGGATTTGCTGGGACCTGATACCTAAATGTAATGAGTCCTGAAATATCAGGATAAGCAATTGTGCTCAAGATGGAGAAATATAGTGTTTCAAAAGCCAAAGAGCTCCTTCACAAGAGCTATAGGAATCACAACTGACGTGAGCAAAAATACCCACACCCTCTTTGCTACAGTGGTAGGAATGTGATTGCCAGGGCCAGGCAGACCAGGGGAGGTGAGCAGCCGCACATGTCATTGATTGTGACATTTTCCCTAACTACAAGAATCAGCTGCACCAGGCAAATTTTGTGTAAAATGCAAATTTCTATGCTGGGGGTTGGGGGGGGGGGGAGAATGTGATCATTCTAAGTGAGGAATGTAAAGTCAAGAGGAAACTATGTGGTATGAGGCTGCAAATCCTGTGTCTTGAATATCCAAGACCTGGGGTCTTCATGTATTTTATTTCTGCAAGGTTGCTCCTCATCAGAGCATCAGAGAAAAGAGTTTTGGAAGGAATGTTTACCTTGTCCTCAGATGCTGGGCAGGGTTATTTGGTTGTTTTTAAATATATTTTTATTGATTTCAGAGAGGAATGGAGAGGGAGAGAAAGACAGAAACACAACCTGGGCATGTGTCCCAACTGGGAATCAAACCTGGTTCATGGGTTTGACATTCAACCACTGAGCCATGCCAGCCAGGTTGAGCAGAATTTTTATTCAAATTCAGAGGCACCCTGCCCCATCTTTGTTTTTACCTCTTGGCAAATGAACCATAGGTTCTGCTTGATTGTGGACTAAAGGGATATTAGCTTATCCAGAATCTCAAAGATTCTATCTAACAGGACAGATGAGTTGTACTCCATCATGCCTTCCAACAGGAGGATTCAGGCTGTCCACCACAAACCACCTGACTATAAGAGTTCCTTAACAGTATCGGTTGCCAAGGGAGGACATAAAATCTTTTTCTTCCACACCTCTAACAAGTGAGATCTGTCCAGGTGTAGGTACAGTGGTAGCAATAAACCTGATGGTGAGTCTTGAACATCTTGGCTCATGGTACTTGTATACTTTGCCCCATGAAAATTGCAAAGGATTCTAAGTGTTCCTTGCCTTAGCTTGTGTCAGCATTCTTGGATTCCTTCTCTGTGTAAGCTGAGGAACGAGTGATTAAAACATTTACCTGAGGGTACAATAAAATTAATAGCACTCAGGAGAGTAGGGGCCCTGATCTTTAAAGTATGGTTGGCCCTGTTATGAAATAGATTCGTTTTTCTCTTAACTAGTACATAGCACTGGGTATAAAATTGTAGAAATGACAAATTGAGAATATTGAAATTTTATTTTCAGTAACCCAAACTGGGTTATAGGGTATTCATGTTATCCTTAAAGGTGTATTCCTAGAATTGAATTCTGCTTTAAATAAAAACAACCATAGGAAACTAATATTTATAAAAATCAGACACTGTTGGTTGCTTTATAAAAGGATCCTTCACTAACAACAACAAAAAATCTTTACCTTAGGATGATTTTCAATAGCTAAGTCCTCTAGGGTCATTCAAAATACATTTTTAAGACATTGAAATATATCTTTGCAAAATTCATGTTGATAAAAGTAAGGTACACTTTACTTTATATCAGCCACCAGCAAAATGAGCAGCTGTTACAAAGGGTTTGTCAACCTGCTCGCCTTTATAAGAGAGACATAGGGAGTTTGAGGCTGGAATGCTGCAGCCAAAAGTGGTGGCTTGAAGAGGACAGAGCTCCCACCACCATGAGGTGCTGAGTTGGGTGCAGTCAACTAGCTAACAGCTTGGCAGCTCCCAGGAGCAGAGGATCTGGAAGGTTTTCTTACCCTGACCAGGCCTCCGGAGACAAGGTGGCCAGTTCAGCCTTCAGACATGCTGTCCCCATTCACACAGTAGGGTTACAGTTTTGCTTTTCATTTCCGAATGGTGAACCAATGCTGATCAATTAAATGTTGTATCCACAAATCTAGAACTCTGGGGCGGGGGTGGGGGGAGGGAGGGAACAGGAATAGATGGGACATCTCTGAGCTCACATTCTCCATGGAATTGGTGGAAGGTGTTTTGGCTTTGGGCCCCCTCCCAAATATATTGGGTGAAAGACCCCTCCCCAGGGGGATCACACCCACCCCACCAAGACCTCCTACGTGAAGATGAGGGAAGGCAGTGCGTGCATTTTCAGAGGATCGGAACTTGGAGACACATCAGCTCACCTTGTCCAACTCTCTCACTCTCGTTTGGAGAAACTTAGGCACAGGGAGGGTATGTACCTTCACCAAGATTTCCCAGGTGGTTAAGGGCAAAGTCAAGCCTTTGTTCTTCCTTCCTCAGCACTCAGGCCACTTTTCCAGACAGCATCGCTCATCAAAGTAGTGCAGGTAGCTCAAAGGGTAGCCTATCATCACATCACTTTTGTTTGGTTCAGAAAGCACAGAAGGTAAATACCTAACCTCCTTTTCACCTCCCAGCTCGTGTTTTTCTCGGATGGGCTTGACATCGCTTGAGTATTTATGAGCTCATATAAAATGACCTCGGATACGTGCTAATGTTTTCTATCAATCACCCTGAAATTGGAAAATTCACATGAAGTTCCTTGCAATGTGACCATGCTTAGTGACAGGCAAGGCCATGTTAAAGTATGTGGTAGGTGTGAGATGTCATCACACCATCTGAACTATGAGAGGGCACAGAACGTTCTTACATCAAAGTTAACACAAAAGAGCTGAGCTATAAATTTCAGATTGTACAAAATCTACCAAAAACAAGTATAAAATGTTACTGAGATGCAGCAGTGTAAGTCTCTCTAAGTTTTTTCTCTCCCATTTAAGGAGAAGAGGAAGCAGGAGTTCCGAGGCTGTGTGCTGCTATTTTGTTCTGCACTGGGCACGTTGACTTGGAATATTGGGCAATTGTTTTCTGTGCTGTTCTGACTTGTACAATATAGAGGCTGATTTGATTTGACAGCAAAGTAACACTAAGCCCCCAAAATAAAATTACTGAGATGTACAATAGCATCAAAACTCCAATTAGTTTTGTATCCTTGAAGCCTCGAGAGGAAACGAAAAGACTCCGTCACGATGAGCAGGCAGAGGCGAAGCACAGAGATCACTAAATGTAACCCTCTAATTGAAAGGGCTCTGTGCACAATATGACACAGAGAACCAGAGGAAAATAAGTGGGTTTTCTCCCTCAAAATAATGAGTCATTACAGAGACTGTTCTATTAACTTTCAATACAACGTTCCTTTGCAAGACTTGGAAAAACCAAGGTTTCAGATGTCCCGACAGAAAAGGCACCAGGCACCAGACAGTACATGCTTGTGTCGCTGACTCATACATAAACATTAGCCATGGAGCAACATTGAAGAATAATCAGCATTTCACCGGATCACAAGTTTTAAGATATATTTACAACTTCCGAGGAAGAGGAGGAGAATTATTCTGACCAAACTTCAGTATTTTAATGAATCTGAATTTTGTCTCCAGAATGAACAGAAGTAATTTGGTGCCAAATTCATCCCCTAGTTAACAGCTCAGGTGCTTACCCCCAGTTACTAATGAGGACATTGTTGCCATGACTCTGTGGGGTGTACTCGTTGATACTCCTGGCTTTCGTGGTCAATGCCATTTTACGGAGGAGCAGTGAGGACTGAGACAGAGAGTACCTGGGAGTCCAGCCACAGTCGCCATGTGCCAAGTGGTCACAGCCACCTTTGGCTTTCCTGGCACCTGTGGATACCGGCGGGGCATGGCCAGGGGGTCTGGGAAGGCTGAGGCTGAGTCAGGGGTTTGGAGTTGGTTGGGGATGACTTGGAAAGAACCCAAAATGGCTTTCCCAATCTTTAGGTGCTTCTAGACAAGGGTCCAGAAGCCGGCCAGCTCGACAGCATTCACAGGAAGCAGGGCCAGTGTCCCACCACAGACGCCCTCTGCCAGGACCTTCAGATCTCTATCACCAGCCGGTCTTCATCGTCACTGCTGGTGTCACTGAACTCCACACGCGTCTGCTTCCTCATTCCTCCCAAACTCCTCTTCTTGATGGTTTTCAAAGAGGCTTCCTGGACGCCCACAGGCTGCCCTGGCGTCGAGGGAACCACATCAGCCTTCAGAGCCATTAATCCCGATTCCCGAATTTCCTCAGTGTCCTTTCCTCCCGGAGGGCGGGGGCCCAGCACTGCCCCGCTCTCTGACGCACATCCCGGAGGGTACGTTCCTTTCTCCTGCCCCTCAGGGGGCAGGTGTGCCTCGGGTCTCCCTTCCTCTTGGTGTGAACTGGTTGGTGCTGGCCGTGAAGCTGGTGTGGCAGGATGAGCTTTCCCAGGTGGCCTTGATGGAACCAAACCTGAAAGTCTTGGCGCAGGGGAAGACTTCCCTGGCCAGAGGGACAGAGACGTGCGGGGGGCGATAGATTTGCTGTCCGGGGAGCTCTGTGTCCGAGGCTCCCCTGCAGCTTGGCCATGGCCTTGTGGCTCTGCACTGGGAGCTCCTGTGGTGGTATGACCTCCTCCGAACCCCAGAGAAGTACCAACGGCAGCCACAGAGGTAGCAGTGTCCTGGCGGGGAGAGCTTCCTTTGGACTCAATGGATAAAGGCTCTTGAGCATCCAAGAAAGCGGGCAGTCTGGGACCTGCCGAGATCTGCTCCTGGGAAGACAGCAACTGAGCCTCAAGCAGCCCCAGGGGGAGATCTCCGCTGTGGGAGGGAAGGCTGTGATCACCCATGTGCATGAGGGAGTTGGGTGGCAGGGCCAGTGCTGATCCCGTCACGGCGTTCTGAGGACAGCGGTCACCGCACTCACTGGCAGAGGATATAACATCCTGAACGGCAAAGGGAAGCAGATGGGGGAAAAGGTTAATTGTACAAGAAACGTGTGGTCAGAAACATGGTCCTCAATGAAACAAGGGCTTGAGTCCTTAATGACTCTTTACTGAGCGCAAACTTCAATATCATATCTTCAATTGGTTTCCATTAATAACTAATTGGGGCTTTAAGTTGAGTCTAGTTCCCTGTTGACACAAAATCGCCTGACGAGACTGCCCGGTGTTTCTGTCTGGCTTTGTGAAAACGCAAACCCCTCAACTACCCCACCAGTCCATTGAGCCCATTGAGCACCAACAAAGACAAAAGAGCCATTAACCACAGACAACGTACAGACAGTGACGGCCGAAGTCAGAATTCCCACCTGCACGGTCCAGGTGTCTCTGTCCCTCACAGCCCTCGGACTTGTGCTGGGAGAGCTGCCTCCTGAGGTTGGTCTCCAGTCCTTCTCCTCTCTGTTCCCACAACCAAGAGGCGATGCTGAGGTGACACAAGATGACTCCCCTTGCAAGCTTAGCCCTAAACATGGAAGGCACATGTACATACACCTGAAATTATTAAGTCAGCAGGTGGTCATTTCCTAGTTTACCTGTGCCTTCAAGACCAGCTTTGAGCTCAGAAGCCCTCATCTCACACTGGGAAAGTGATGTCCCTTGAACCAATTCCCGCCATCTATTAAAGTGTCTCCTGTTCTGCTAAGGTGAGCGGGAAGGGGGAAAACCAATTCCCAAAGACAGGACAATCCCTACACCTTCCATGTGGCTTTGCATCAGAGTCCTCTTCCATCTGTGAGTCTCAGATTGAGTTCTCTGGCCCTAGAGCCAGAGGTGGAGAGTAGGAAACTCTCCGTCACGAGTGAGTCCTCAGAGCACTGGGCTGCTTGGGTGAGGCTGGTCTTGTGTTGCTATTGCTTTGTGGGGGTGACTGTTTGATTTGGGGATTAGAGGGGGGACAAAGTACGACCTTTACAACATCCACAAAGCAGCCTCCTCCGGAATGCAGGCCCAGATCTCAGGGAAGGCAGAGCCCGTCTTGAGTTAAGATGAGAAAAACATTCTAGAATTGCTGTGTCACAGAGAAAGCATTAGGCCCTATTTAAAAGTTGCTTTTATGTTGATGAAAGCTGCAAATGCACAGACTTTTAAAAAGTCAAACCTTTCTACTTATTAAGAAAAACAACAGCACCTGTCCACCCACTCCTCTTCGCCTACCGGATCCTGTTAATGTGTCTCCTGTCCTCCCACAAACACACTCAGAGCACCATTTCTCGGTTTGTTTTTTGTTGTTTTTATTTTATTCCCAGTGTGTGACTTCTGTGAGGGACTAGAAAGAGCACACCTTCTCCACAGCCCTCATTGCCCACAGCCACGCACAGAGCCACCGCTCTCTCCTCAGCAGTGCCATCACCGCTGTGGCCATCTGGCTAGAAAGTGGACAGTCTCCATGCTGTGCTGCGGACTTCGCTGTCTGCGCCAGAGCCTGGCGTGTGCTGGGAGCAACTGCCTTTATTACCCATAGGGTGTTCCCTGGAGTCAGTTTTTTTCTTTTGCTGAGTTTTCTATAAACTTTTTACTAAAACCACCCTCCAACCTCCTTCCCAATGGTCTAAAGTTTCAATTTCTTAGATCTCTCATGAGACTTTTCTCCTTTTTTTAAGCTATTTTCTTTAATGTATTGAATGTATTGGGTTGACACTGGTTAATAAGATTATATATTCCAAGTGTTAATTCTCTAACACATCATCTGTGTATTGTGTGTTCAGCACCCAAGGTCACGTGACCTTCTATCACCACTTGTCCCCTCTCTCCTCTTCCACCTCCACCGCTTCCCTGTCCCTCTGGTCATCGCTGTGCAGGCAGGAAGGTCACAAGTGGCGTTCTCCAGGTTAATACGGACCAGCACCACTCATGAAACCTTCTGACCTGCGCCTGGCTGCAGCTCCAGGGCCCATGCGAGGCTGTGCCCCGGATCTCCCTCTACCCCCATCCTTGGATCCCAGGCCCCTGCAGTTCTCTTGGTTTACTTTCTTGCTTCCCTAACCCAAAACTCCAGGTAGCTTCCTGAGAAAGGGTGAGCGAGAGGAAATGGTGACACCTTCCCCGGCTGCTTGTGGGAGGAGAACATTCGAACTTGGGTGTATTCTCCTTCAAGTGGGCGCCGGGCTGGCTCTGTCCCGGACTGAGAAGTCTGCAGTTCGGGACCCTGTGGGTGAGGCTTTTGTTGTTCTCTCTCTGAGAAGTCTTGGCTTCTTCCTTGTCTGGGTATCACTCTGTCCTGTCTATTTTCCTGCATTGTCTGGGCACTCGGTGCAGCCTTTTGATCTGAATCGCGTCCTTCAGTCTCAGAAACACACATTGTGTTTGATTTTCCCCTTATGTCTTCCTTTCACGCTCTGTATGAGGCTACTGGGCCTCTTGATCTAATGCTCTATTTTTCTTCTCTTTTCTCTTCTATTTTCTATTCTTTTCTTTCATTTTACTTTTGGAGAATTCTTTTGATTTTCTATCCCAACTCATACTGTCTATTTCTGCTATCATGCTTTCCATTCCTAAGAGCCACTATTAATACTAACCATTATCATTCCTCCTTTGTGGCATTCTGCTATTTCGTGGCTCCAACATCTTCTCTTACTGGCTCTGTTAGATGAATAATGGTTTGTTGATGTTGGTGAAATTTGTCTCTCCTTACAGACACTCCCTTTCTTCCAAACTCCTTTGCTTCTGTTTGCTTTATCTGTGTTTTGTGTGCGTGTGTGTGTGCGTGTGTGTGTGTGTGTTTTTGTGTGTGTGTGTGTGTGTATTTTCCATAGTTAAAGATTTGGCTGGAATATCAGCAATTGTAACGATCCATCCATGTTCACCAAGTAGGCATGTGCAAGATGATTGGACACTCCTTACAAGTGCAGTCCGTCCCCAGGGCCTCCCTGCGCAGTACTGACTGCTTGGTGGAAGCGGCAAAGCCTGGCATCATTCTCTGGTCCCCACAGGCCTGGTCGGTACACATGGACTCAGCCTTCTGCCAGGAGGCGCAGCCAGGCTGTCCACACTGGAGCCCAAACTGGGACTGCGAGTCGGGGGACCGGCAGGCAGGGTCAGCCCTTTGGTTGAACCCTCTGTTTTCAATGTGGCACCCCACTCCCCACTCCACTGACTGTGCCCCGTGCCCCCAGCATGTCAGACCTGCTTCAGGACTGAGCCCCAGCATTCTGCCGGGCAGGGAGTGAGGGGGACTGTGCTGTGGAAAGGGGGGTGGAGATTTGGGGAGGGGGCTCCTGGGCTGTGGATTTTGGAGTTTTGAGGTGTGTCTGGCTCCCTCAGGACTGCGCTGTCCTGCTGAGTCCGTGGCCTGGCCCTGCCCTGGGGCTGCCTCCTCTGTCACTTTGTCCTCAGAGGTGGTGCCACAGACACAGTCCTTCCTGACCCCCCGGGTTGTCGGGAAAGTGGAGCCAAATGAAGGTGTTCTGTCCCCATCTTATATCAACAGGACAGACTGACTTCTTCCATCTCAGGGGCTTGTCGCCAGGTCCCTGCTGCCCTAATCCCGAGCAAAGCAGCTTGAAGGTCCGTGAAAAGGACAATAGTTTGGAGACGGACGTCATGACCTCTCCTGGAGCACAACCTTCATGTGGGCTCCTGTGCATGGGGTGTCCGATGGCACAGACAGGCCTTCGTCATGCCACCCATTTTCTCAATACCCACCTCCCAGTCCCTTCCAAGCCTGCTGTCCCCTCCTTCCTGGGGAGTCCGAGAGCCAGCCCAGGGTCCTGGCCTTGGAGCCTCTGACCCAACGGGGAGAAACCAAGGGAGCAAAGTGGAGAATGAGATCGCTTCCGGTAGGCAGGGTCGTGAAGAACATAAGCCCCAGAGCCTCATGGTGAGCAGGAGGCTGGCTGGAGCTACTGAGTGTGAACAGGGAGGCAGGGGCCTCGCTATGGCAGGAGGAAGGGAGCACCTCCCATACCTAAAGCTGCAGAGAGGTGGTGCCTGCCATGGAAATGAGGGTGAGGGGGACCCCCAGAGGCCGCTCCAGATCTGGAGGAGCAGACCAGGCAGAGCCTGATGGGCAGCCAGGTGGAAGGAGGGTGCTGAGTGAGGCGGGGCCCAGTTAAGGGGGAAGCCCAGGGGCGCAAGTCTTGTGGGTGCAGGCAGGTGCTGGGAAGGGGCCGGGTCTGTCACGGTGAAGAAGCAGCTTGGCAGCAGGATGCCACAGCTTCTAAGATGCAAGCGGCTCCTGTTCAGAGACTACTTTTCCGGGAGAGGAGAGCAGAGCGGGAAAACCATTTTCAGGGTTACCGGAGGGATGGAGTCAGATGGGAAGGCTTGGTTGGGGTAGAAGTCAAACAGATGGAAGTGGATGAGGGAAGACAGTTTTATTGCCACCCAGGAAAAGTCACCAAAAGATAATAACGATGATAAATGTTTCACTAGCCCCATGGTTTACCAAGCGCCTCCTCTCCTTCTAAGTGGATTAAGCTGTGTCTCCACATTGACAAAACAACAGACAATTCATTCGATTCAATGAAGTAAAACCAATTAGCGAGAGGAAATAATCAGATTGGTCAAATGTCTCCTCGGCGGCGTGTGTGGGCCTTTCGGCCGGACAGAAAGGCCAAGTGCGGGTCTGACCAATCACTTCTGACTCACCTGGGCGTGAGGGGGGCAGAGCAGTTGATTTAATTTGCTTCTGACCTACAGTCTGCGGAGAAAAGTGAGTTATCGCTAATAATTGTGGGGGGAAAGGCCTAGATAATGTCACCGAAGTGTGGTAAACAGATTTGGGCTCTTGAAGCAGGACGCTAACTGGCTCTGAAAGGAACAGCTCTTTCCAGGAGGGACGGGCCGGGTAAGGCACATGGGTTTCCAAATCACTCAGGAGCCTGCCCTCCATGTGGAGAAATTTCGGATTCTTTCATCCCCATGAAGTTTCAGAAACTCCAACACGCTCACACAGTTATGCGAATCTTATTAGAAAACCATCGCTCATCACAGCTCCTCTGCCCTCCTGCCCTCCCCCTGATTAAAGCTGAGTTTTTAATAATTTTCCTCAGAAATAATTGCCCAACCATGTTTGGAGAGGCAGAGACTGCAAAGAGCATCATAGCACACTTAAACTTAGCCTCCTGAAAAGGCTTCCAAGAAACTGCACAACAATGAGAAAGAAAACAGAGTAAAGAAACAACAGGACAGTGCTTCCAACATGGCTTAGACATCTCTCACGACCAATCTGCTCCCGCTGTCTAATCTTAGGCCTAATGAAAATGCTAATAGACACATTCCTCTAACATCGTTTTTTCTGAAAACTAGAGGCCTGGTGCATGAAATTTGTGCACTGGTTGGGGGTTGGGTGTGAGGGAAAGGGGGAGATATCCCTCAGCCTGGCCTGCACCCTCTCACAGTCCAGGACCCCTCGCTCCTCACTGCCCACCTGCTTGCTGCTCCTTAGAGCTGCCACAGAAGCAGGAGAGGCTCCAGCCACCACCACTGTGCTCACCATCCATGAGCCTGGCTTCTGACTGAGCG